GACTTCAGCTGGAGCGCGCATCGTCAGCACAGCAACAACAACGGGCTGGTCAGCCAAGCTGGATCACTTCTCGGCGGCGCACTCACTTGCTTGGAATTAAAGCTGGCTTGGCAAGAGGAAGAAATAGCTAAGGAGTGACTTACTCTGTCTTCAACTCTAATAAGACCTCAACAGTTGTCTTCCTTATTTTTCAAGAAGTTAACTGAAAGAAATTTAAAGCTTTACCAAAAAACAAAAAACAAAACTTGTTGCCCATCATAAGAAATGGATAACCAATATAAGCATTGTTTTAACTCCTAGAAAACTCTGATACCTCACATTATATCCTATAAAATCAATTGACAAATTTAAGATCTACTATTCAGCTCAGTAGGGAGAAATTAACAGAAACAGAGGAAAAGTGAGTTAATGTGAAGTATGGCATTGGTTTTCTATTCACAATTTACTTCTGAATTTGATTCTCTGTCATTCTTTTCCCTAGAAGATAATTATTTTCTTAATTTTTATTTGAGTATGTTCAAAAGTTATAAACCCTCAAGGTTCATGTAATAATAAATAAAGTGATAATAATTAAGAAACCAGAAATAACCAGGAAACAAACAGATTAACTTTTTCAAATTGTATTTCTAGGGAACAATGTAACCACCATGGTGACATAGGTCGTTCTTCACTTCTTCACTCTCCTCACAAGAACTAACATCTGTTCACGAACAGGAAACCTCTGAGAGAATCCCAGAATGTGGGGGTGAGGATAAAGCACCCCTTGTGCCACAGAGAACAAGACAGGCAGCATCAGAAGTGTGGCATGGCACTACTGAAACTAGCTTGTCAACACGCCTCTGGTTTCATCAGCCACCACATTCAGTAATGATTGCCTCCCCAAACAATGTAGAAGGAAGAGGAGGAATGGGAGGAGACCGTGGTCAATGCAATAATGTTGCCCACACGTGCAGTCAAGGATCCAACCTGGTACCAGAGTACCTCCAGTCACGAAGTCAAAGCCGGGCGGCAACAACTAAATCCTCCCCTTTCCTACAGGTGATGAATGGAAGACAACGCAGTGCACTCGACGTGATTGTGATGCAGGTTCAGGAAGAAGTCTTTGATATGAACGTAAAAGCCAACAGTCCTAGGGCAACTTATATTTTAAAGGAGTTTTGGCCCAGGGACTGGGATTTTAAAAAGGGTGATGTTGCTGATACACAGTTAATTTATTTGCAAAAATTCCACACCTTCTTGGGGATTGTGGAGGAAGAAGAAAAGGCAAGAAATGAGAGAGTATTGGAGGAATGTACTAATTGAGGAAAATATCTAAATCTACCGTGGTATTATATTTTGTCAGGTGGGGCATCATCCCAGGGGATATTTTAACTCTACATAAAAATACTACTCTGGTTTCTTAAAAAAAACTGTTTTTGTTACAGTCTTAATAAAAACTGCTATTATTAGAGGTTTAATGCATTGCTACTTTGAGCTTATGTTGCCAATAACAGAGATTTGTTATTTACTTAAACTTTAGTCTTAAAAAGTATATATCCACACACATTTATATCTGGCTTATTGTATGAAATACAGAGGAAAACAACAAATCTCAGAAAACTACCAATGAAACACATTAACGCATATACTGGATATTAAAAGGCTCACGAAAACTAAAAAGGAGTTTACATGTATATGGCATAATCTATGAATGCAGTATTTCATATTAGTGTATTTCTACTAAAACTTACCCACCAGAGCCTACAGACCTGAGGAAAGGTAACCATTTTTAATAAAATTCATTCTAAAATGTGCTGGCCCATTTACCTGAGTCTCCTAATATAATTTAAGCTAGTTATAGCCCAAATTTGTCATGCTGAATGGAAATCCTAATACTATTACAACCTCCGCCCCACCTCAGCCTCCTCAAGCATGCAGGGGCAGCACACACACACACACGTGATATTCCCGTGCCGCTACCTTCCCTGGAGCTCATAGGTTTTAATGTTTCCTTAGAATAACATCTCCCTTTCAGGAGATTCCAATCTTTTAATCTGCTGTAATACACGATTAACCTTAATTTAAAGTTACTGTAATACCTTGTGGGTGAGAGAGAAAGGTACCACAAAGCACTAACAATTTTCTTTTGGTGCTGAGGTTTTTTAAAAAATCTGTTCTTGGTAGAGTCAACAATTTCAGAAGAGCAACATGGTAAAAATAACAGTATCCTCTATTCACCACTGAAAGTGATTCTTCATCGAAATACATCAGATAATTAGTGAAGCAGTTACATAAACTGAGACTATTTTAAAATCTACTCTCAATTATTAATAATGATAATGATTGTTCAAGAGGCATTTCATGAACCCTCTTCATGATTCTATTCTATTCCTGCCATCCAGCCCTCAACCCCTCATTCTCACACCCCTGGTGGGCACTTAGTAAGCGTCCATTAAATTTCATGCTGGTGTAAGTGAAACTTCTTTGAGACTATTCTGATGTAAATCTCTTAACTGAATTACATAAAGACTGAACAATTTTTTTTTCAGTTGTCTGCATAGTGAGACTGAAATAATTCCATTATGCCCTAAAGTCCCACACATAAGGCAGTTTAAGAAGCAGCTGACAATGTGGATGGCTGTGCCCACTGAGCAACATATCTAGATATAACAGCACAGAACGATGGTATCACCCCTGATAAGGGCCTGGCGATCACACTCAGTGAGTACCCTTTAATTAAAGGCACAAAGAACTGACTGGCTGAAGTTTGTGCTGCTACCTGATGGTCAAGCCAGAAGCAGCATTAGCATTTCCTGGTTCTAATCATTTGGTTCACTATGTATTATTAAATGTTTTACTTAAGATTTTTTATTTCAATTGTGGTAAAATTTACATAGTATAAAATGTACCCTCTTAACACTGCTAGCACTTCTGTTTGCACCGTGGAACAAGGACAGGCAACGCAACAAGCGTCAGGGCTGCGCAAGAGAACCCGTCACCACATGCCTCCCATCGGAAAAGGACCATGAGAAATTGCATCCTAATATTCCTTTTCAGATGGGAGACACGTGTGGTGTTGGATCAACAGTTCCGCAGAGGAAAAAAAAAACCTTTTTCTTTCCCACATACAGCACATACCCTCCACTACTTAAATTCTCATGTAGGAGAAAGGCCAGCTGTACTATTCTAGATTTCACCAGTTTAATAGGGAAGCCCTATTAAGTCTCTCCCGAACCCAAGTAAGACATCTCTGAAAACATACACACAATCAGAGATAATGGGATAAAAGAGTAGTACCCAGCAACCACAGGCATCATTACCAAAGAAAATATTTCCCTTAACAAGAACGGCTCTTACTGTTTTATAAACACTTGCTGGTGGCATCATTCCCACGGTAAAAGGACAGATGTCTGACTTCTGAGGTGCTTGGTCCTAACCTTCTCTTCCGTCCACCATCGTTCAAGCAGCGAGACGCTAAACCTTCCCCTCTATCAAGATGTTAGGAGATTCACTTTGCAATGTCCTGTTTCTTTAATTTCAGATGTTACCAAGCATGACTCACTTTCTCCCACCCACTTCCTTCTTTGAACTTTCTCTGCTTGAAAGTCAGCATTCAAAATTCGTTTCCTAACCTCAAGAAAACAAACCAATGGCTCTGTTTTGGATTTTTGCATAGGAGCAGTGAAAACTGTACCATTAGGTGGATTTTGCTTTAAAGTTCTAAATATATCAATATTACTCTAATATTTTAGTGTCAGTCCTTCTGAATTTCTGCCCATGTTAAGATGCAGCACCATAAAACAATAAAGTACACAGCTTTAGGACTTGGATTTGTCACTTAGGAAATTTCCTATAATTATCAAATTTTCAATTCACAACTCTCCTACACAGATTATTACTTTAAATTGATAAGACAGACTCAGCAGTGGAAACTTTATTCTTGTCACCAGAGATGTCAACAACTTTCTCTGCACCTTTGATCCAAGAAATTGCAAGTACTTTGGAAAAGCCATTATTTGTCAATACTTCCAAAGCATTATATTGACGTGAATAAAGAATACAAATGCAATTGTCTTATCACTGGCATTGTATCTGAGTTTTTGCCGTGGCACAGGGGAGTTATGAGCATATCTCACCAGCAGATGAGAGCTCTTTGTTCACACTGGGCAAGAGTGCCGCTCAGGCGGCTCACTGAACTACTGCCCTCTTTGGAAAGGATGTCCACCTTCAGTTTGCCACAGCGTCACCTCCCCTGGTATATTACCATGGCTGCTGCATTCATGACATTTCCAATATTTTGGCATTTACATCTGTGGCTTCTTGCAGCAGCGATACAATAGCAGCCCAGGAATCGGGGCACAAGGGATCTAGGCTATTACTATTGTAATCTTGGAAAATCATTTCAGCTTTCTGGGACTCTTTCTGCTTTTGTAAATGAATTGCTGAACTGAAATGATTTTTAAAGAGCCTTTTAATTATAATATTGTGTATTAATTAGAATTTAAAAGATTAGTACCCCAGAAAAAGTTACAGATATCTGCTGAATAATTTGTGAGTACTTCCATATTCACGTCCTTACAAGAAACATTTACTAGTGTACATTAATCTTCTAAGTCTATTTCTTTCATTTGATTAGAAATATCTGAAAAGCAAAGATTGTATACTTTCCTCTTGCTTAGCCCATAAATATTAGGGTTGTAACCCTAACACCTAGAGCAACAAAGAACATTTTCTTCCCACGTAAACAAAAGCAAGGTTTGTGGTTTTCCCATATCAAAGTCTTCACACTGTTCCAACTCTTGAAATCACAATAGATCACCAGAACCCACGGAGAAGAAAAGGTGACCTATCGCCTCAAAACAGCAGGTGAAACACTCATTAGCAGCTAGAGCTTGAACGCTGTTTAATTGGTGGCGAGGGTGGTCTGACTCATTCATTACACAGGTGCTATGAAACAGTTTTAGAACCGTGGGTGAATGATCAATGCTCCCGCCTACTTGTGAGTGGGCCTCACCCTTTACCTTCATCTCCTGCTGCTGATCCAGCTGTTCTGGTTCCAGAGGGCTTTCCCCATCTTCCCTCTCCTGTGCCTTGGCTTCTGTGTCTGCCCTTTCTTCTTCCAGGGACAGGGCTGGGTCTGCACTTGGAGTCCTGCAGCTACTGTCAGAAGCATCTGCGTCACAGTCGTTTGTTGTGGGTGAGGCCGGGCCTGTGGTGCTCTCGTCCCTTTCTCCATTCACTAAGCTCACACCAAGCAAGGGCTCAGAAGTCAGAACAGGCATGTCTGGGCCAACGGCATCCGCTTTATCCGCCTCACATTCCATCTGGTTCTGAGCCTCCACCACACCGTTAGCCACACAAGTCTGTGCTCCCTGAGCTGGGTCTGGATCATCTCCCTGCTTCTGTGGCGGGTGCTGGGAGAGGAGTTTGTGCTGAGGTGTGGTTGTCAACCCATGCCTTCCGGGGGTTCTAGGAGCATTTAGGTTCATAGCAGAAGTTTTCTTCAAATCGCCATAACTTGATAATGTGCTAAAAGATAAAATAAAAAGGAAGTGTGAAAACACTAGCATGGAAAGCTCTAGAATAAAAGCAAGTTTATTCCAGCTGAAAAGGGGTATTTAGGAAAAACATTTCCCCCGCTCCTCTGATGGTTTTAGAAACACAGACAGGAATATTCCAATGTTGTTTCCAGTCTCTTGCAATGCTATCCACGCTTACACATTTAAATAAAGATGACAGGCCTGAGCTTTAGCTGTAAGGTCTGAAACATTTCCTTGAGCTGCTTATCAATATTGCTAGTTAGTAAAGACTTAAATAGGAGACATACTGATATTTAATAAAACCATCTTTTCCCAAGATTTTTAATTCTTACCTTTTTAAAAACAATTATAGCGAGCCCTCAATTTATGAACAGGTTAGAAACTGAAAGTTATTTTTGTCTGGAAGCAGCACAGACCGCCGCAGCCTCCTGACTGACCTCCCTGCTTCCCCGCCCGACCCCTCCAGTCCGGTCCCTCCAAGTCGGCCAGGGAGACCAGGCTCTGTGAGGCCTCCGCACACACTTCACAGCGAGTCTGGCATCCCGATCATGGCCTCTGACATTCTGCACACTCTGCTAGTTCTGGCCTCGTTAAATTCCATCTCTCCTCACTCACAGAGCTCTCATCATGCCTGTCTCCTCGCTGTCCCCCCACTCCCAATGAGCAAACACATGCATCTAAGGATCTCTGAGCCATCATTCTGCCTGCCCAGGACAAAGGTCCCCGAGACACCAGTGTGGCTTCCTCCTGCCATCATTCAGGTGGCTGCTCAGGTGTCACTTCCTGGATGGCTTGATTGGTTACAACACACTCCACCACTAACCACCATTTTATTCCATTTTATTTTCATCGTCTTTACAGCTCTTGTTTTTACTCAACATTCTATAGAGCCACAATAGTATGAGGGAACCTAACTGCCAATATATTACAGTGTTCCTATGGAAATGTCTGTGTAGCATTTGAGTCTCGGATTCCAAGGAGGAAAAATCCAAAAGGATTTTTCAAAGGAGGTTTATCCCAGAGGAATAAATCTCTGGGCTGCAATCCTGGAGAGATCCCTATGACCTAATGAGAAATAAAGATAAATATAGACGAATATTCTGTAAAGGGGCAGAATGTGCCCGTCTTGTTCTCTGCTTTATCCCCACTTCTCAGCACAGCTCTCACCATATGGAAAGCGCCCAATGCCTACCCGATGAGTAACAAGTAGCTGTGACTGTGACGATGATCATGGCACTAATTCAATGCCAGCAGCTAACATTTGTTAAGTGCCAGAACCACCCCAGCCCTTCACAATGATTATCCTGTTTCAGCCTCCTTATGTTTCCAAAATAGAGACCCTATAAATCCATGCTTGAATATTATACAATGTGGCAACATCACACAACTAACAAATGAGAAAGCCAGAGTTCAAGCCGTGAAGTCTGATGCTAAATCCCATGGTCTTTACCCCACAGTATACTGAACACACGGGAACATGAAGGAGGGAGTGAGGAGCAGGCGAGTAACTGCACGCAAACGTGGGACGGCAGCCCAGGGCTCGCATCCTCCCCTGCACATGAAGGGGTCACAGGGTGGAGGGAGGTGGCGGGAGGCACAGCAGCAAGGGCCCTGGACAATGCTGGGGTGTGTGTCACTGTCTCCCCTCACTCCGCCCCTCCCAGACACTGCTGATCGGGCCTGGAGCATGGAACAGGGAACAGCAACAGACAGCCAGAAAGTAAAAAGGGAGGAAAAAAACACAGGGTCAAGTTCGGCCCCAGAGGAAAGAAAAAATTGGTAAGGGAAAATGTTATACATGTAAAAGTTGGAGGTTATCAAAATAAATAAATGTGACACACTCTACCACTGACAGTTGCCTTCTTTGACAATATACCGTGGTCTAGATAATGTCCCAAACTGTCCCTGGAAAACTGAATCAAACCGTCCTTCTTTTCCTGGCCATATCAGTGTCCAGCAGTCCAGTAGAAAGACCCTCAGAAGATCCTCTATCAAACTTCAGGCTTGTTAGGATTTCTGAAAGGACAGCTTTGGATGACAGGCAAGAATTTCCTGGAATAAGTGACATCCAGAGGATATGTGGGGGAAACAGGGTAGGGATGAAGGGCGCAGGGGAAGGTTAGTAAAAGCAGCATGTAGAAGACCCCTGCTGCTTTGGAGAAAAGCAGTTGGCCTAGCAGTGTCCTTGGGAAAAACCAATATTGGGTTCTGTGGGAAAATGTTATTTATTTATTTACTTACTTACTTACTTAATTTCTAAAACCCTGAAGTCTTTCAGAGGTTAAAATACTAGTTTCTTTCACTCTCAAAAAATATTTTAAAAGATAAAGAAACTACAATAAAAAATAAGATTTCACTTGCTTCAAATACACCCTCTAAGTCACCCATAACAATAAAACAGCTTTCCTTAGATTATTGCGAAGAGGCTACCTATGATGTACAGATAAGGTCTTAATAAGAGCAATATGGTCTTCTATGATGCCATTTAACAATGCTGATTTTTCTTGTCATCCTACTGTGGTAACTCACAGCCTGTAAATCTCCATCCATTCCACAGAGAGCTAGTTTAAGTTCCAACGACTAACCATAACCTGAGAGCTACAGTGTAGGCATATGGACACCTCTCAGCAGGAAATACAAACTTCCCATTTAGCCCTATAGACCCAACACAGCACTAATCCTTCACATACCTTTAGGGTCAATTTCTACTGAAAACACCTCACTACGAACATGTAATTATTCTTTGTACTAGCAGTGGACGCAGCTGCAAGTAAGAGCCCTTCACCAGGTTTGCCAAAATGCTCACATGACATCCTAGCTTCACTTACGATGAGTTTTTTTCCCCCTTAAAAAATTTACTTATTTATTTTCAGACTGAGGGGAATGGAGGGAGAAAGGGAGAGAAAACCAATGTGTGGTTGCCTCTCACATGTCCCCTGCTGAGGACCTGGCCCACAACCCAGGCATGTGCCCTGACTGGGAATCAAATCAGCAACCCTTTGGTTCACAGACCAGCACTCAATCCACTGAGCCACACCAGCCAGGGCAGAACAAGTTTTCTTAAAATGTCATAAATTATAGCACATCTGTCCTTAGATCCAAGAGCTTTGCATCAAAATATGACTTTGAATCTGTAAAGTCAGAAAGAGTAAAAAAAACTGCTATTGATAAATTGGAACACTGTACACGTTTTGTGTACGGGGAGGAATGAAAAGAGAGGGTTATCAAATTTGTGAGGTCTAGAGGACCCAGCCTTTGATGGGATTCAGGTTGGGCCCGCACTACAAGCAGGGGTAGGGCTCCCATGTCCATCCTGTTACACAGTCACTGGGCAGGGCCCTGGAAACCGCAAATGTGCGGGTCACTCTCTGCGATTACATCCATTTGTCCTGAGAAACAAACCAATTTTAAGTGTCATTAAATCATTCTAGTGAAGATTGCTATAATTTAAGATGGCAAAGCTATTTAAAATCCTACTTCAAAGCCCTGGCTGGCGTAGCTCAGTGGATTGAGCGTGGGCTGGGAACCAAAGTGTCCCAGGTTCGATTCGCAGCCAGGGTACATTCCTGGGTTGCAGGCCATAACCCCCAGCAACCGCACATTGATGTTTCTCTCTCTCTCTATCTCCCTCCCTTCCCTCTCTAAAAATAAATAAAATCTTAAAAAAAAAAAAGAAAATAAATTAAAAAAAAAAATCCTACTTCAGAGGGGGAGGTGCTGAAGTTCAACTATTCATGACTCAAGTTCCCACAATTGATTGGAAATGAAAATTGAAGACAGGCTTCTGAACTAATTTGCTCCAGAACTTGTCACTAAATATAGTCTCACTTTAAGTGAGGGACCCTGCAGTTCTGTGCTTGGTCACAATTTCCAGAAGATTTTGAGAGCATTTCCAGCCTTTGATTCATTACATATATAATATAAATCCTTCAAATAATGAAACCACCTAATGGGAAACCATTCCCAAATATTACACTGGAATTAATGGAAATAGGTAGCTACAAGGATCAGAATAAATTTATACATAGGCTGTTAAATTATATACAGACTTTTGGTGACATAAGAATAATGAAATGCTTCTGATAAATTTTTTCAAAAATTCTGTTCGTCAGTAATGGGAATTCTAAGAAAAACAATTGAGAGTCATACAAGTAGAAAAGCAATTTATAAGAGTTTGTTTTATCTTTAAATGAGAAATACAGTGTCTCACCTACCTTTTTGGAAACATTAGGACTAAAGAAATAAAAAACTGCATCAAATAAATGCAAGACTGGAATTTAACATGAATTTTGCTAGTGTCAGTCTCTCTTCACAACCCCTAGTATACAGTGCAAGGGAGTGGGGAGTGAGACAACAGACACTGAACGGACAGAGAAGACCCACCTTAAATACGGTGGGTCAGAAAGAAGCCCACGGAGATGGAACAGGGCCACATTCACAAACACACAAAGCGAGAAACAGAGACAGAGACAACCTCCTGCTTTCCAGCCTAGGTAACCAGGGACCAACACCGCGGCCCCCAGGACACACACACAGATACACAGCAAACAACAGAGCGTATCTGTAGATCTATACAGGACACGATGTGCAGAAGCTGGTGGCATAAGCGCTACACACGGATAACAAACAGCAAATGACAATTTATATCAGGGCAAGATGAAATGCTTTCAAAGTTCACTCTTTCTAAAGGCCTACCAAACCTACTGGAAGAAGATGCATGCTTGATTTGGAAAACTTAGGACTCGATCACCTTTTCCAAGACCCGGCTGTCGTCTCCCCTCTGCCTTCTCCCATTGTGAATTAGCTCTTACCTGCCTCCTTCAAAGCGACTGATGAGATCTGATATCTTACTGGATTTTTCTTTTGACACACAAGAAGCAGAGGCAGGTTTAACTTCCTCCATCCTGGGTGCTGTGCTAGACAAAGCTTTCTGCCTGGGGGCCTGGTGTATACTGGACAGAGGCTGATTCTGCAGGTGTAATGGCTTTGGAGGCACTGTGAAAAAAGAATTAATAGTATTTCCTTAACAACAACAAAAATTCTGGTGTCCTGGTGATACAAATCTTCAGCATTATCAAACTTTTGTAAAGAAGTCTGTCGACTTTGTAATGAACCTTAACCGAGAGACCTTCATTTATATAGGACACTTGCTTTGTGTCTTATGGAAATTTTATCTCCAAGGTTCAGGTGGTTCTTTAATTTTAAATCACTTTGAATATGGTATTATTAAATACCTAGGGACCTATATAGGGCACAGCATTCCAACAGCATTAGAGATAAGTAATTGCTTATCTAATCAGAGAAGAATAAAGTGCTAAATTTGAAACTGATTCCTAGAATTGCAATGCTTGCTACAAAACACATTTTTAACAACAGAGTGATAACAGATACACCAGAATCCAGACCTAGTAAGTTAAACATAAAAGCCGACAAAATGACAACAAACAACAGTAATGTTGCAATACCTATAACATCTTCCCATTTAACAAAAGGACCTTACCGCATTTGACCTTAGTTAAAATTGTTTTTTACTTTACACTCCTCTGAAGTACCTACCATTACTCATCTCTTAATCCACGAAGGCTGAGAGAGGGTAAGTGACAGGTCTGGGGCAACGAGGCCAATCTGGACACCAGCCAGTGCCCAGACTCTGGCTCCTTCCATTATCCGCATCACCCCTCATCATAAACCCAGCCAAAGGGGGCCAGAGAAGTTCTGTTATTACTGTCTGCTACATTAATAGCCGGACTGCATCAACTTAGCACAGATTATCTGCTTACAGTGGAACTGATCATTTTCTGAATACTAGTATTTATAGATATTCCCCTAACAGATGAGAAACTCTGTAGATAAAAAAACGTACTATGCCATAAGAACTAAATGTACATTCTGGATAAAAGATTATAACATAAAAGGTTATGTGTTTTTCTATAACTAGTTTTTAACACATGAAATAGAACCATATCCTTTCAATAAAAAAAACAAAAAAACCCTGTCTCCTAACTTTATGTCTCATCCTAATCACATGCCCCATTTCCCCCGCACCGCCTGCCCTGCTTTTCAGTCATCTCTCCTCTTTTATAAACTCAGTTTATGGCTGGTCGCCTGATGCTCACTGGCCTAGATCTCATCATCTCTGTGCCGGTTACCAATTCTTACAGAGAAAGAAAAAAATGTTTATCACAGTAAGCTGCAGGTATAACAATTCATCTCATTCTCTTCAACACAAATGAGAAGAAAATCCCAATGGAAAAACGATATGCTTCTATTTATAAAAATGATATTATTTTCCAAGGTATGCTTGGGTATGGTTAATATAGTACCTATTGGGAAGGAGGGGGCTTCCCAGTAGGTTCTATAAGTGTGATATTTGTTAATCTTAAGGAACAATTTCCTGTATAAGACAAATATGTACCAACGCAGCAAACCAGGACAAGATCCCACCAAAAAAACCCAACAGTTTTAGCATTTGGAGTAATTTCAACATTCATAACTAGAATATTCAAAAAGAAGGAAGCAAATATGTTCTTTAAATTCTTTACATTTGCAAAGGTTGCTATAAAATAACTCATCCTGATCTAGAGAATGTTCATAAATATTTCTTACTTATTATATGCCAGACACTGCAGATGCTTGAAATTTTCAAATACAGTACCAGCCCTTCAGGTTCTCAGAGATGACCCCACCAACCTTTCTCATCTCAATTGTATCTATCTCTTAAATTGTTTCCCAACAAAGTGTACTTCCCCCCAACGTGCTTATCATTGTTATATGATTATTAAGTAGTAGGAAGTAATATGAAATGATGGACCAGCAGTAAAATATGAAATACATTCCAGATGCAAAGCTTTCTCCTCCTCAAGGCTGCAGCCCTGTGAGGGTGGGAGCATGTCCGTTTCGATCACAACTGCATTCCCAGTAACCGTGTGCACAGGGCTTGTGGCACATCTGTGTTGTCAAGGAGCTCACAGTCCCAAGCAGAGACAGTTTAATGACGTGGATAGAGGTGGGTGTTGGGAACACAGTTACTTTAGAAGCACAGAGGAGGCATCTATATTAGCAAGGGAGATAATTCAAATGCACAGTATATCACTGAATATATACATTTAATTAATTAATATATTTATTTATTTATAGAGAGAGGAGAGGAGTGGGAGAGAAACATCAATGTCAGAGAGAAACAATGGTTGCCACGTGTGCATGTCCGCATCAGGCACCGAAACTGCAACCCAGGCATGTGCCCTGAAAGGGAATCAAACCGGCGACCTTTCACTTTGCAGGACGACACCCAACCAAGTGAGCCACACCGGTTAGGGCAAACATACACACATTTTAAATAAATGAGCACAGATGTTACAAAAATCTCAGGATGGCATGTGAATGTCTAAATTGTCAGAAACACCATTTTAGAGGAGAATAATGCATACAAAAGATACAAAAAGTGAAAATAATTCCTCTCTCCCTCTCTTTTACCATTTCTGATGTTTCTTTGACACTCCAAAGGGTGTAAACATTTTGAAATGTTTTCCAAACCTCTCCTAGGTGTGCTACCAGCACTTCTAGTTCCTTATGACTAAAACCTCATTTACTTCTTCCTCTGGTAGCCCAAAGGATGTGAGCAGGAAAAATAGTGTTCTACCTCATTAATAGTCAGGGAAATGCTAATTAATCCACAACATGATACCACTTCAGGCCCATCAGACTAGTAACCAAAAATTTAAATCTGACCATACCAAGTATCAGTGAGAATATGAAGCAATTCTCTAAATACCTACCTTAGAGAAATCTTACATCTTTACTGTACAGGTTTTTATTAATGTTTACTTTTTCATTAATTCAACAAATATTTATTGAACACCTATTAAACTCTACACACTTGATCATGTCAATGAGCGGAAGGAAAAACAAGAACCAAAAAACATGGTGAGTAAAGGATGTACCAGAAGGTGGTAAGCAATTAGAGGAAAAAAGGGGGTGGGCTTAAAGGATAAGAGAGAAGGGATCTGGAGTGTAGAGAGTGTAGGGGGCAGGGCACACCACAGCATCAAGGAGGGCATGCAAAGTGGGCCTCTCTGTGAAATCATCTAAGACTTGATGTCTTAGATGTTACTTAGGGAGTTACCTGAGGAAGAGCATTCCACTGCGTAAAGCAAAAGCTGGAGGTGGGTAGGGCCGGTGTGACTGGCCCCAAAGGAGCAAGCACACAAGAGCAGGTATGGGGGTCAGAGGGAGGGCCTGATACTGTACAATCCTGTACAGACTTTGAAATGAGTAAAATGAGAAGTCACTGCAGAGCTCTGACCACAGAAGTGACATATGACAAATTCCAACAGCCTCACTCTGGCTGCTGTGTTGAGAATGTGGGGGAGGTAGGTAGAAGAGCTAGGAGGCAACTGTAAAAGTTCAGGCAAGAGATAATGGTGCTTAGGAGGAGACAGTAAGAAAGAGTAGGATTTCAATTATATTTTAAAAGTCGATTTCCTGATAGGTTGAATGTGAGGTATGAGAGAAAAAGGGAGGAGTCATCCTTGACTCCTCAGAGAATGACTGAGAACTTTGGCTTAAATAACTGGAAGGAGGAAATTGTCAACTGACACATAAGTAGATATTTTTATTGACTTTAGAGACAGAGGAAGGAGAGAGGGGGGATGAGAGAGAGAGAGAGAGAGAGAGAGAGAGAGAGAGAGAGATATCAATGTGAGAGAGAAACATCGATTGGTTGCCTCCTATACACACCCTGACTGGGGATTGAACCCACAACCTAGGTGTGTGCCCTGACCAAGGATCAACCCCGCAGCCTTTTGGTGTACAGGACGAAGCTCCAACCAACTGAGTCACTGGGCCAGGGCAACATAGAGTAATTTTTGGAAGAAGAATCAATAACACAGTTTTGGGCATGCTGTTTGAAATACCTAGATGACTATAAATAAGATGGAATCTATTACAGCCAATTTTACAGACAGTAAATAGAACAAAACAACTTAATTATTAAAATATTTCCAGCTGTGCAAAGTAATTATTATGATTGCAAGACACTAATTGCAGTTTAACTTTGGGGATGCCCACTACATTTTGATTATTTCAAGTTTACTATGGAAAACAATAACTGGCTCTATATTAAGGCACTATAAATTTATAACATTATACCTTAAAAAGTAAACATTCTACAAAGAATGTTTTACTTTAGAAGCAAATGAAGTAGGTTTGAGTACTTTATATACACTTAAATCATTCAAACAATAATGTGCTTTTCCAAGGTCATGAAACTTTCTCAAACATTTAGGTTTAATGATGGAGAAGTGACAATATATTGGTTTTATCAAAATAATTAAGTATGGAGAATATTGTGGATCAAAGCTCCTAAGAGAAAAAGAACTATTAGCTTTAATTGTTAAGAGTTTTTCTGAGTCCTGTCTAGCAAGGCAGGAAATAGGCCAATATTGAAAGTGGTGAACAAGAGGAAAGACTTACATTTGAAGTTGTTCTGTAATTTATTTGCTTGACTGGTGGGATTGGTATGAATTGAATAAACCATTGTTTCCCAAGGCCTTGGGGTGTTTCCCCGAGGCAGAGGGAAAACAAGTCTGGACTATTGAAGGAGTCCGTTTTCAAATCTACAGGCTCCAGATTAGATTCAAATGCAAGTTTATCTAATCTCTTTTATCCTTTTGAAAACTGTAATTCTTCAAAAATATTTACTTATTGGTAATAAACATATACTCAATGTTGTTCCAAACACACTACTACATAAACACCACCAATAAAGTTATTCAATGTTGTTTCTACTTTTAAAAACTCACCAAAATAAATTATAGCTATAATCTTATTAGCATTCCACAGGAGAAACAAAGAAGCAAGATTTAATTTTGAGCTGTTTTTAGGATCTAGATGAGAGTTTCACAAACTATTGACATTTCAAGTTGGATAATTCTTTGGGGGCAGAAGTGGGGGGACTGGCATGTGTCTTGTAGGCCGCTGAGAAGCATCCCTAGCCTCTGTTTAGTAGAGGCCAACAGCAGCTCCCACAAATTGTATCAAACAAAAAAGTCTCCAGACAATACCAATGGGGGGATTGTCTCCAGGTGAGAACCTCTGATCTACACTAAGAGTCTTTAAGTTAAACTGGCATAATGGATCTGGAAGCTTCAGCAGCCTCATCATTCATAACTTGTAAGGGATTTGCAACATAGTGAAACCACAGGTGTCAGTGTGATACAAAGGGATCTGGCCAGATCGCTGGGGAGAGGGAAGGGGTCTCTGATTCCTGGGCCCAAAGCCTTTGTTCCCTCGGAGGGAGGGAGGGGTGGCAGAAAACAAAACCACAGAGCTGCCCAGGGATAGAGTTCCACACCCCCAGGTAAAGAGTAAACAAACCATTATCGCAGGCTGTTTCGTGAAGGTGAAAGCCCCCCTCAGAGGTTGGGGGAAGTGCAGACCTGCCAGCCAAGCCTGGATTGGCTGGGAAGTGAAAGCTTCCAGAACTCGTGAAACTTTAGGGCCAAAGATCTAAGTGGAGGGAGGGCAGGGATGCGGACGTTTTTTTAGCCCTTTCTGTTGCCCCTCACTCGCCCAGTCAGGGGTTGGCTCACGCCAAAGGCGAGTCCCATATGCTGGGCCCTGTGCCCTGATGGTGACCCGCAGGACGTTGGCACACGTCCCGGACTGCCCCGTCTCTCACTCTGAGATCGGCTCACAGACACACGGGCCAGGAAGCTAACCAGCCCCAGGGGCACAAGCAGCCTTGGGCATGGGGCTCCGTCCACAACCAGCTGCAGTGGCCTGGCAGCGGCACCAGCCCGGGGAGAGGAAAGAAACTGCGGTGAGGCAATGGTGGCCCCAGAAGTGCACCCTCCCGGAAAGAAGCCTGAAGCTGGAGCGCATTTGCCTAAAGCCTTGGGCCCCAAAAGGGCAGATAAAGATGGAGCAGGTTTCTGGACGCGGGCTCTGGTTCTGGGGGTGGCTGGATTCTTTCTGTGTTGTGGAAGAGATTGGCCTGGAGTCATGGGGTTGCCCACTTCTCCAAATTGGGCTACATTTTAATGAAGACCTTTTTCCTTCCCCACCAATCTGTTGTATGCCTGTGTCTGGCAGCAGGCAGCTGGATCACACCCAGCTCAGTAACAAATGTGATAATCCCTTCATCTGCACAGAAGTGCTCATTAGCATCCCTTTCCTTTCTGAGCCTTGGTCACCCAGATGTCCTCAAGGGTTTGGAGAGATGAAAAGGGTGGGGAACACTGATTACTGATCAGTGAGCCCATAAACGGTGCCCAATCTGTTTGGCGGCTGATCTCACAATGCTAAGATATACCCTCACTTCAGGGATGTTGGTCTCTATCTGACACACATTCTAGGTTGTAAACAAAAAACAGCAGAAGCAAAGAAAGTGTAAGAAACGCTGATGAGGCAGGCATTCATTCAGCAAGTATTGCTGAAGACCTGCTATGCTGTGTCGTAGGCACGGGGAATGCAATACTGCAAAAGGCGGGGAAACACTTGACGTGGATGAGTGAACTGTAGAGCAGGTCAGATTGTAATGAATGAGGGGGGAAAGCAGGGATAGGGAAACACGAAATGCCAGAGTTGAGGATGGGGTTAAAATTTTAACTTGGTGGGGGGCAGTGCTGGGAAGAGCCAAAAAAAGTGAGAATACTTTTTCAAAGAAGTATAAAGACTTTATGTAGTTTATTGAGTACAGTCATTAACAGTATAACAACATTTTGGTCAATGAGGGAGCAACTATACGACTGTGGTTCCTTTTAAGATTATAATGGATGCCCTGACTGGTGTGGCTCGGTGGGTGGGGCATCATCCCACAAACTCAAACTCAAAAAACTCAGTTCGATTCCTGGTTGGGGCATATGCAAGCGGCAACCAATTGATGTTTCTCTCACATATTGATGTTTCTCTCTCTTTCTCTCTCCCTTTCCCTTTCTCTAAAAAATAAATAAAATCTTTGTTAAAAACAGATGATAATGGAGCTGAAAAATTCACATTGTCCAGTGACTGTAGCCATCCTAGGTGATGCTGGTGTAAACAAACCTGCTGCGTTGTGGGTTGTATGAAGCATAGCATGTGCAATTATGTACAGTCCATAATGCTTGGTATTATAATAAACAACTGTTTATTATAATATAATATAAACCACTGTTAATAATATAACAACAGTTACTGGTTTGTATATTCTGGATACTTTCTATCATTATGTTAGAGTATACTCTTCTTATGTACAAAAAAAAAGATTGCTGTAAAACAGTATATGCCATAGAACAACAAGAGAAAAAAAGACCAGTATGTCATGTTATGCTGCAGGCAGCAGCCTCATACTTCTCCTGTTTGCCATGTTTCTTCACTATCATCTTCCCTTGTGCTTGGTTTAATTTCACGCTGCTTTGTACAGTAACATGCTGTACAGGCCTATAGCCTAGAAGTAACAGGCCTGGGTGTGCAGTGGGCCAGACCATCTAGATTTGTGTAATGTTCTATAATGTTCGCAAAACAACGAAATCACCTAATGATGCATTTCTCAGGATGTATCCACATCTTATGCAGCACATGACTGTATCTGAAGTTAGATAACATTGTATATATCAATCTACATTCAAGGTAGGAAGTAAATATGTATGTATGTATGTATGTATGTATGTATGTATTTTTATCAGCTCAATCTTCTGTCCTACTTACATACCTTTTATTATTTCTTTTTTTTAAATTGTTGTTCAAACACAGTTGTCTCCATTTTCCCGCCACCACTTTCTTCCACCCTACCCTCAATCCTTCCCCCCTTTGGCTTTGTCCATGGGTCCTTTATACGTGTTCCTTGACGATCCTTTCTCTTCTTTCTCCTGTTACCTCCCCCCACCTCCTCTCTGGCTACTGTCAGTTTGTTCTTTATTTCAATGTCTCTGGTTATATTTTGCTTGCTTGCTTGTTTTGTTGATTAGGTTCCACTTACAGGTGAGATCATATGGCATATGTATTTAAGTAGCAATACCTTGACTTTCATATAACTACAAACAGCAAAAACAAGGTTAAATGTCGTCTCCCTAAAGGATATGATTATTTCAGCACACAGTAGCTCAGGAAGGACACTGCTATAATGTATCTCAGTGAACTATGAAAAACAATGAAGTAATGCAATGATGCTTCCAAAAAAGGCTTTATAAATAATGAAATTCTTGCTTTTGATCTTAGCAATTACATAAAATTAAATTACATTCATTTTTTATATTCTTACCCCATTTAATCTTTGTCAGCTCAGGTTCAGTAAGCAAGATGGAATTTTGTACTTTGCAAATAAATGGCTTAATTAAATCATGATCAAAAATTTTTATGTTCATATTCACATCAATGTTATAGGGATGAATATAGCCAAAAGAAATGGTTATAAACAGGCTATTCATTTGAATCACCAATTTTTTTAACTTGCTTTATAGCTATACTTGATACCACTACCAATAGTAAGAGAAGTGAAAGCAAAAGAAAAATATTCCATAATGTGGAAGACTATTTTAAATCCTCCTTAAGGGTCTCTTTCAGGAATCCTTAAAACATAAGAACTTTAAAGAATGCCATCAGCTCTTTTACAGTGCATTCTCTGTAACACTTTTTTTTCTTTGCAAGAACAAGAAAGAGACCAAAGTAAATACAAAATAAACCGAATAGAAATTGATTTTTCCAAAGAATAGTAATTCTACAAATGCCCAGTTTGTTTCTTGGCTGAATGTTGATCATTCAGTGTAAACAAAAACCTGTTAGAAAGAAATTATACATTAGACCACAGTGGAATTTAGCTTTATATTACATCAGCAAAATTATCACTTTGTGCTTCTCAAAGTCAATACCCAGTTCAGTAGAAATTTATTCGTAAAAGGAAATGGTCACTGAACAAGTTCACCATTATAACTGTTTTACCACTTGTGGGCTACACCATTCTTGAACTATTTATATTTAATTTCAATGGATGACTTTACCAAGAAGGCTTTTCAAGCCCAGGTTCCTTAACGTTGTAAAATCACCTTCTCACTACACGCGTTAAGTACTGTTTCAGAAGGATCTGTCCCACAGATCCTCTGACATCTAGCAAATCATAACAACTGCTGACAGTACTTCTAAACACATCTCTCTGTTGCACACTCATTATGCAAATGGTAAGTTAGACCCCGCGCTAAGTCAGACATAACTCGTGAACAGACCACAGTCCCCTGAGGGGGACGTGTACACAATCTCTGAAACATGGAAAGAACCATGATAGACAAATGTATAAGGTGTTTTAGGAGCAGAACAAATACCCAACTCTGTGTGAGAAGGCTCACAGAATGTCTTTTCTCCTGAAAAAATGAGTGCACCCAGCTCCTCCCATTTATAAATTAAAACTCTTCCTTAGTGATCATCATTCTTCTGGGCCACCTTCACCAATGAACAAAGTGCCCAACCTGTTCAAAGAACCCTGGTCAGCATACCTTGTGGCTTTGGACTTGCAGCTGAGTGTTTTGCTGGCGTTTTTCCATTTATTCCCTGAGCCTCTTCATCAGATACATTCTGATCAATCAGCGTGCTTGTGCTGCTTTTCAAGGAGAGTGGAACTAGGGTGATCTTTGGACAGGTACTGCTGCCTGAAAGAGTTCAAACAGCAAGGGCAGGTAAATAAATGCAGAGGCAGACTACAACTATGTCTCATGACTTAAATTTCTTCTGACCCCATATGACAAAAACAATCACAGTTACAAGACTAAGCATAGAAACACTTTTCCCATGTATGCTGGCCTTGACAAATTCGAATTTTCCAGAGAAAGATCTCGTTCCATGTGCTTGAGAAACCTTATAATGCATACTGACAGAGACTGCTGCACATGCGTGTGTGTGCACACACACTCCCCCACCATCCCTGTCTCCTCCTTCCCTTGCAGGGCCACGAGAAGGGCATAATGCAGCTGCTATGGTGCAGACGAAGCCGACTAAGAGGAAGACCACAAGGCCCCAGCACTAATCTGGTAAAAGCGTTCCTTTCCAGAGCCCAGTCCAACTCAAAAGAACAGAGCAGGAAAACACCAACCTGACAGCTGACCTAAGAGGAGGAGAAGGGCGAGAGCGGCTGGATTAGAGGGGAACAGTTTACACACACACACCCCCCTGACTCACCAGCTTACTCAGACTCCAAATTAGCATATAGCATAAACTAATACCCATGTTTTCTCCTCTAAAAAGGGATGGTGAGATTATATGGGTAACACTGTCTTGTACTTACAACTCAAAATTGCCAAATATGCTTCAAAATACTGAAATACATCATGAGAATACATAAAAAATAGATACATTTTTGGAAGTTAAATATTGAATTTAAAAGAGACTTGTAAAGAAATCATATGGCCATCTTTTGTCTTTATACTCATATTAAATTTCCCTTTCTTCTACTTGACATGGTGATATTAATAACAAATTGGACATTGCTTAGGAAAAAATAAATTTCTACCAGGGAACTAACCATCACTAAATAAAAGTATGCCATTTAAGAAACTGTGAACTGTGACTGGTTACGAAACAAAGAGTTTCATTTTTACAGAATCCAAATATCTATAAAAAGAAAACTATTAGGGATAAAAAGCATTATTATTCAAAACAAGAAAAGCTAATAAAACCCAATGAACTTTCTACTGAGCAAGAAAAAAAAACCTTTTATTTCAATTGATTGTTAAATAATATTGATTAAAAACCTCGCTACTGCTTTTTTGTCTCTGCTTCCTTTAAAATTTATCTTGGTAAAACAGATTTTAGAAGATATGAAGAGTTCCAAGTATTGCTGGAGAAGTTCTGAGAGGCCCAGAGCTGAAACAAACACACTGAGTTTCCATCGGGCAGCGTCCTGCTGCAGCGGGCTGCCAGCTGGGTTAAGCGTTATTTCGCCAAATATGACAAAGGCCTTGAATGTGCCACTTGGGGGAAATCATTTCACAGCATATTACTAAAATTGTGAACAGAAGAAATAAAAGCTCAGATGTTTAAATGTGTGTCTTATCTACCTTCTCAGAAAAACTATGTGAAGTAGGCAAAATATATCCCTGAAATCTGTAGCCTATCATCCAACTGGATGGTTTAGCCTTTTAGGGGCCGGAGGACATGTGTTCCACAGCGATCCCAAGAATGCTGTGGTAATCCCACAGGCCACCTGCTGGGGTCTGTGAAGGATGGCCTGGCGCAGAAACAGGGAAAAACCACAGCCCAACTACAAAAGCAGAGGCAGAAGCAGCAATGTGCCAGAAAAAAAAATGAGACTCTGTGAAAGCAAGAATGCAGCTTTAGAGACAATTTATAGCAACAAAACTATGAAAAGTGAGCGGCTAATGGGTTAAATGAGAAAACATTAAAATGACTCTCAAAAAACAGATCATCACTTTTAGTGTTAAAAGTACTCTAAAATTAGCCTATTTAGAAACAAAACATGTGTTAAATCATTTAAATTGAAAAGGAGGTGCTTAATCTCTAGATAACAAATGTTGAGGTAACGATGAGTTTCGTAAGTGTCATACTTGTTGGAGACTATCTCACATGAATGTGCTGAAAAGCCTGCAGTAAGGGATGAACTACAAATTCCATTTCTTATAGATCCATTAAAATTATGACTACAAATCTTTTGCTCACACAATAAATCCATAGCCAGAAACTTAAGGAGATTACTATTTAACATCAGTCTCCAAACTATCACAAGGCATGAAAATATGGTAAAAGACAGAAAACATGTTATTTTTTTAATCTTTAGATCTTAGTTTTGAGAGATCATGTTCATTTTCTTCTGTAAAAAAGTTAAAAGAAGGCCCTGGCTGGCGTAGCTCAGTGGATTGAGGGCGGGCTGCAAACCAAAGTGTTACAGGTTTGATTCCCAGTCAGGGTACATGCATGAGTTGCAGGCCATGACCCCCAGCAAGCGCACATTGATGTTTCTCTCTCTTTCTCCCTCCCTTCCCTCTCTAAAAAATAAATTAAAAAAAAAGTTAAAAGATATCCATGTACCCATTTGGTCAGATTATTTATTCTTTAGCAATTGAAGTATTAAATAATGACAGTTTCTATTCTCAATTCTTAATAATATTATATTCATTATACTTGAGATTATTTAGCTTTCTAATGGGGAAAAAACCCAAATATAAACCTTTCTACTATTTACCTATTAGTTCTGCAGCACAATTTTAATTTAAAAAAGTTTTACTGATAATTGGACAATTTATCTGATGTGGAAGAGAAATATTGAGAGTGATTATAAAGAGGCCAGTTTTGCAAGTCGAGAGCTATGATCCTCGATCCACTGCTCAATCCACTCACATAACTGATCGATGTTACCCTCTAGAGATCTTCTGGTTTGCTGCTGGGCAGCTGATGCACTATATCTTCCTTGCAGGATGCCCCTGCTTCTTCAGAAAGAACTTGAAAAGTTTCACACTGAATATTACCTTTTAGTTTCTTCTCATTATTAACCCCTTGTTTCAAGTCTTTTGTATAATATGCTGTTATCTGCTTTCAGCACAAAAACTATATGAAACCAGAGTTCATGGAAGAAATCACAACTGTGTCAATCCACAAAAATTCCACCTTCACTTATTTAGTTTTCTAACTCATCCACTACTCTATCTTCATCTAAGATGGGACAGCCATACTCTTCATCACAGCCATCATATATGACTGCCCTTCTTGGGGTAAATCATGCACACTAATGTATTTCAGTTTTGACCTTGATGCAAGTTCTTTGCCTAGTATGGTTTTTCCAACCCCTGGTGTACTGCCTGGTGAGCAGGATGCTTATGTGCAACATGGTCCTCAACGTGATAGCTCTGGAGAACACAGTCCTTAAAAAAAACTTTTAAAGCAATGACGAATATGCAACGAAGACCATATGTGCCTGCAAAGCCTAAAATATTTCCTATCTTGCCCTGTACAAGAAAGTCACCTGCCCACATGAGATAATGAAGTTTACCTAAAAGCACACCATTTCATTAAATACTTTATCTTCTGACATCGTGGATACTAGCAATAAAGAGTTAAACTTCTTTTTGCTTGTTTATAACTGACTCAGCCTACTCATATTTGGAGACGGTCCTTATTTGGATGCCAGTTGCATAACAGATAATTAAAACAGAAATTGTAACCAGATGGTCCACCCATTCAAGAAAATTTTTATTAACTATTGACGCTTTTTGGTTCCAATTTACCAAAGAGAACCAGAAGGAATGATTAGACTGTTATCTTGGGCACAGATATAACTAGTCACATTATATTAGAATGGAGGAGGGATCTGACTGAAACACTCTTTGCTCTCTCTTAATGATTGTAAGCTTTTTTATCCACTAGCCCTAACCATTTTGAATTCCTCTGTCTTCAGGTTACTCACGTAAGCTTTCTGGGACTTATTTCCTTTGAGGAATGTCTAGACATATGATAACTTCAGGGGCTTCTCAGATATTCTCATTTCATCCAGCATCATCTTTGACTGTATAAGGCTTCTTATTCCAACTGAAGATGTTGCTCCCATGGCCTAACTTTCATTTATGTCTTCTTTTGCAGGACACTTAGGAGTGGCAGATAATACCTCTGATGGCTGTAAGGTGACTTTGTCTCCAAAACTTTGTGTTGGACTGTAGTGTTTTGCCAAATCATCCTGGAATGGCTCTTTTACACTTTAAGGTTGGACTTACTTTTGGGCCATCCATTCCAAAGCAAAGGCCACTCAGTTTTCTGATTCTTCAGGTCTAGTCTCTTGCCATGGTACCCAAGACCTCACTCAGCTCACATCTTTATGGCCTTGCCATGGCCAGGTCTATACTGCCTCATCCATCCATAACATCTCTCTCCCAACTGCACCAAGTCTCTGGCTCAAAAGATCTCAATGAGCTCCACCCCTCCAGGCAAGAGGATCTCTTGGATTTAAGAGGACAGAAGTAGTTTTCTAGGGGAGACAATCTTTTTCACAGTACATTATCCAGTAGTAAAGACATACCTTTTAAAACAAAACAACTATATTTTGAAATAATTTTAGATTTCCAGAAGAGTTTCACACAGGTTCCTAACCTCAGCATCATACGAAGCCATGGTACATTTATCAATACCAAGTATGTAATATTGGTACAATACTAAACCACAGATTTCATCTGGATTTCACCAACTTTTCCACAGTCATCCTTTTTTCTGTTTCAGGATCCTATCCAAGATACCATGTTGCATTTAGTTTTCATTGTGTCCCTTGGGGCACTACAATCTGTCAGTCGCTTAGTCTCTGCTCCTCTCACATGACTTCAGCACTTTTGAAGGTCAGGCACTTTGTAGAATCTCCCTTTCAGGAGGCACATACATACAACGGAATATGATTCAGCCTTAAAAAGGAAGGATTTTCTGATGAATGCTACAACATAGTCGACCTCTAGACTATTATGCTAAGTGAAAGAAACCAAGTAAAAAACACAAATACTGTATAATTCCACTTATATGAAGAACAAAGAGTAGTCAAAGTCAGAGACAGAAAGCAAAATGGTGGCTGCCAGGGACTGAGGGGCTGCAAGAATGGGAAGTTATTGTTTAATGGGCCGAGTTTCACCTTTGTGAGAGTTTCAACTGCAGGATGGGGTGATAG